TTTTTTTTTTTTTTCAAATCTGTATATCCTATTTTAATTATTAGAATATATTTTATTTTATTTTATTTTATTTTTTATGTTGAAGTGTGTTGAATAATTAAATGAATGAGTCTTGTATGTGATCTTAGACCTCTGCCACCCATTCCTAATCTTGAAGTTTCTGACGAGACTGTCATAAAAGCTGCTGATGAGATGCGAGTTTGGATAAACTATGGATTATCAATTGCTCATGATATTGCAATAGGTGGAAATTTGAAGCTCTTTTTTCAGGTATTGTGATTCATCGACTATTTGCTTATTTTTTATTGTTGTTGGTGCTGTTATTATTTTTCATGCAAATGTAATTTTTGCCCCGATAACTGATTGAGGAATACTTCGTGATGTGATTTCCGCTAATTAGGTTGCTATTGGCTTGTGGATCGTTTCTTACATGGGAAGTTTCTTCAACTTTCTTACACTGCTTTATGTTGGTATGTCCTAGTTTTCTTGAGTTCCATATATCTAAACTATCTCTTTCTTGTTGAACTATCTCTTACACTGTTTAGTTCTTATTGGAAATTAAATTATCTCTTTCTTGTTAAAACAGGTATTCTCCTGAGTTTGTCACTACCTTTGTTGTACGAAAAGTACCAAAGTCCAATTGATGAAAAGCTCAGTGTCGTCTATGATATAGCTAAGGCGCAATACCACAAAATTGATGATAAGATACTGCAAAAGATTCCATTGCCCTCAAACAAGGAGAAGAAGACCAAGTAGCCTTATGGTATTCTTTTGCTTATTATGTTTTTGGACCTTCTTAGTATTCAATTCTTTCTCACTTTCATATGAATCTGTTTTTACGAAATCATATGCCGGTGTGGATTTCATATGCCTGACAATGTCATTACTGACCAGTATATCATTTATCATTTTTTCCTTGCTGCAACATGCTGCAAATAAGTCAAGACCACTTGATTTTTATCTCATATACAGTTCTTTTGATGAGCAGATTATGTTTAGTTTCCCTGTGAATTGTGATGCATGCATAATTTAGAATGTCATATTGTTGATAAATGCATATATAAGAAAATAAAAAACTATATATTATATGTGAAAACAGTGTTAATGTTTCCTTCTTTTGGGGAGAAATTATATTTATTCTTCTTTAGGCCTTATTTTAATGCTCTTGTTGCATTCAAGTGTCAATATTCTGCTAAGACTAAAGACATCTAAATTAGAAATATCTGCTTCTAGACTAGATTGTTTTATGAAGTATAGAGCAATAAAAATGACAATGCTATTGCTGGGTCATTGTTGATCCAGGCATGAGGCCTGTGTATGACAAACTTTAAATCGAATTAGAGGCATTATGTGATTTTTCTTCAAACTGCTCTTGAAAGTGTGGTGGCAATGTCTGATGTTGACTTCTGTAGCATGCTTCAGATTAGCAGCACTGAAAATGGTGCAAGTAGACTTATTCAACTGTATTGCTGCTTGATCAGGCCCCAGACTTATTCGTCTGTATTGCTGCTTGATCAGGCCCTAAAAGCAAATCAAGTGAACTAAGTTTTGATGCAAAAACGAGCTATTGATTAAGTGATATCAAATTTCAATTTGTGTTGATAGAATGCTTAAAGTAAAATCTTGATCACTAGCATGAGTTGGTGTGTAATTTGGATGCTGCTTTCTTCCGTTATTTCCTTTTCTTAATTGTGTATATGTAGGGCCTTGTTGAAGACGAATTGATTTGTTTCTGTTATAGTAGAAAATGTGCCTGATGACCTTACAACCATCTTCTTCTCGATCTCTCAGATGTCTGTGATATAAACTGCGAAACTGGGAAACTTTTGTGAGGGAACATGTCTTGATCTGTTTGTTGCTTTGAGAAATAGAGTTTGGAATTCAGCATTCTGAAATGTTATCTTTGATTTATAGTGTGTATTTCTTATATCTTCACTGATAGCATTTCGATTTGTCGTGTCATAAGTGGGAGACTCTTTTTTCCTTTATCTCCTTTCGTTTTTTAATTCTTCAATCTTGAACTGACAATTTTCATGTTCTCAACATATTTCTTATTTTAACGTCCAATGGGGTGTGGAGAGTATTCATTCCCCCTAATAAAATTTGCAATTCTATTTGCAGGTGGATTCTGCTGGTTGCATATTGCCTAACTGTCATCTGAAAAATATATTTGAGCACCATCACCGGAAAGTTGTCATTCAGTATAGCCGGCATCTGGAAAAATTTGATCCCACAGGAGTTTACATTCTATGTGACACATGCCATTGTACTACTTTTGCCCCTATTTAGTCTGATAACACGTTTCATGTGCTGATCCAGTGATCCCACTTGGATATAGAAGTCGCCAATCATGGAAATGTTAGTTGTTTCTTGTTTGTTTTATCGAGTTTTGATAGCAGTGTGTACCGTGTGTGCATGCCCATGGTTTTCCCAAGTGAATGTTTTTTAGACCAAAGGGATTTGCGAACAAGATTTGTTGGCTGAAATCGAGTGTTTACAAACTACATTCTAGTGCTTCTCAATGTTAGTTTTCATTTCTTCATTGAATCAGAAGTCGAGTTAAATGAAGCAGGCGTGGAAAAGCGAAAGGCATTTTGAATTGGACTTTTGTATATGAATAATTCAGTTAATATCAGTGAATTGAAATTTCTGCAAATGGCCAACAGTTTAACATTATATTCTAATGGCTTACCATATTACAAATAATTATTGTTTACATGACTAGACATGGTCATAGGCCGAACCGTCGAACCAACCAATCTGGTGGTCAACAGTTTTGGAATTGGCCCAAATTGTTGATCACAAGCCTTCAACCCGGCCCGTTATTTGATCTTGCCGATTTAGGTTCACAAATGTGTAAAAATAATCCAACTGTTTCTTCTTTTTTTGGGTTCAAACAAGATCCGGCCTTGAGATGCACTGGAATTGTTCAAATTTATTAAAATTCAAATTTAAAAAAATATATATATATATATATATATATATATATAGCTGGGTTCGAAATCAGAACTGTCAAAATCTAACATTTGGATCGATATGACTGTCGAGATCAAGCAATCAATCTTTTTTTTAGCCGATTTAGGTTTGGAACAGGAACCGTTAAATTTCAGCGAGGTAAGATTTTTAAAAATCGACATTTAGATTGATTTGACCGTTGATATCCAACAATCATGATCCGTCTGAATTGTCGTTCAGCCATGAACCGGTGGGTCTCGAATTAAAAAATAAAAAATAAATTTTTTTCTATGTATAATCTCATTTTTACACTAAACTCAACATCTTCTTCTACAATCTCTTCTCAATACTTTAATTTCTCTCATTTGTTCTATAATTGTCGCGTTTTTTTCTTCTTTTTATATATACATTCTATTTAAGTTGCAAAAATATCGAGTTCTCGTGAAGGACTACCACCAATGAAAAATATAGCATTTACAAGTGGTCATCCATTGTCGACGCTAACGGTATACCCAAACGTTCTGGGTTTGTCCAATGATATGTCTCTCAGGGAAGTGTAAGAATCTAACGGGTATATCCATAACAATTAGGCGGAATTGAATAAATCCTAAGCATGTAATTCTATCAATTCATAGAACATGGATCTTTTGCATAAATTAAATTGCACATAGAGACTTACAAGAATCCATTATAGTCCTTCCCTGTTTTTCTTGTATGTCTGGCCGATCGTGCGTTGCTTCCCCTCTCTCACGTTCGTGTGTTGCTTTTCTCTCTCCTGCGTCTCTCGTCATTTCACAAAGCCCTTAATGTTGAGAACTTTATTTCGTATGAGATGGGAGAGAGGGGTATGTAGTATATATAGGAGGAGAAGACTTAGAATCCTAATCATACTACCATTCCCCATGTTCTAAAGTAACTTAATGTCCAAGTTAAACATCACACATTGGGCTCTTTAATATTAATATTAGAACATTAAATAATCTATTAAATATATATATTCATCTTTAATAAAGTTTAACTATTAATTCAATTAGGTCCAACTAATTATATGGTCCACGATAATAGAATAATAGATAAAATATTATTACAGGAAGTCCAACACATATTTAAACCTATCGAAGATATCTTCGAGGGCTTCGAGTTCGAGGACCTGGAGCCTAGGGATGACGCTCTCACTGAAGGTCGGCGGGCAGTCATCGGACTTGGGGGCTAGTGTTTAGAATCGACATCTGATATATTTGCAAGGCATTTCACGAAGTGTCCTATACGAAAAAATGCGATGAGCATTTTATATGTATTTGTAAACACTATCCGCTGGTGCCAAAAAGAAGCACACTTTTAAAACTGGCAATGTGTTGAGAATCATGCAACGAACTGTACAGACTTATCATTAGGCCAAAAATGGGAATTAACTCGAGCCAACTCAATTCCCGAGAAGTAGCAGTGCATCTAGGGTTGGATGTGCCGAAAAAAATCTTATTATTATTATTGTTATTATTATTATTTTTATTATTATTAGTATTATTATTATTATTATTATTATTATTATTATTATTATTATTATTATTATGATCATCATCATCATCAACAAATTACTATTATTTAGACGAACATGGGCTGCATAATTTAATATCTAAGAAAATGCTAGGATTGCAAGAAATGGAGACTCGATATGATGAACTCGATCACTTCTTGGCATCGGATCTCAAACTTACGATTCCCAGATCACCAATTCTGCCACTTACATTCGATGTCTTAGATTGGTGGTTAAAAATGAAGTCCACTTATCATGTCCATGCTTGATGGCCAAGGAGATTTATTGTTATTTCTATCTCAACTGTTGTGGTTAAACAAACATTTAACGAGGAAGGATATACTCTAGACGCATGACAGTCGAGGTTAGTGGCATAAAACTTAAAGTCCAATTGATACCTCTGGGTCTGGGTTCATATAAATAATATAATATATCATTATATTGGGCCTTTTTAACTTATATAGATAATGTAAGTTTTCGGTTCGGTCGGTTAATTAACAGATTGTAACCAAATCGAACCGAAAAGCGAAATATTGAAAAATTAAAATCGAAAACCGAACCAATTTGTCGGTTTCGGTTTCCGTCGAAACTGAAAATTCAATAGATCTGTTAACCATAGTTTGTGCAGCCTTTAGTAAGAACCTTTGTTATTGTCGTCTATCTAATCTAACCTTTATAAACGGAGGACTTAGGTCAAGATAATATGGAGACTCTCTTCTACTCTGATAATCATTCTACAGTCGGTCACCTCAGAAGACATTTCATAATACGATTTCCATTAATTTTGTTTTTAAAAAATAAGGAAAAAAAAAAGTTAATTATTAATCCATCAAGCCAATTGATTAACTAAATAATTTTGTTTTGAATGGAATAATAAAGCGAAAGCCACAATAATTCCAAATTTTCCCGCTTTTGACCTCTTTTACGTGGCAAATGTGCACAGGCAAATACCCCATTCCTCTCGTGGCCATACATAAAATATCTCTCTGGAACAAAAAATTCCACGGTGGGTCCCGAATTAGTAATCTAATAAATCTCAATTAGCGATAGTCAAATACCCGGCTCGATTCCGGATTAGTCGGTTCCCCTGTAGATCTGGAAACCGGAAGGTCCCTGTACCGAAAAAAAAATTGCCACTAAAAAGTAATTACATATATATATATATATATATATATATATATATATATATATTCATACCAATGTGGCATTAACTAATTTGGTCCTTACAAGTCCTCTTGCCGCAACTATTTTTGACATTTTGTTGGCGTCTGTGTTTATTTGTTAAATTATGTGTTATGTGTAGCTTCGGCGAGTCATTAGATTAGTTGGTATATAATATAATATATATAATTCAGTTTCAAACAAATCACTACATTACAACTTTAGCATATCCACGTAGAGTTATTATAAAATCGGGCTTCTTCTCTAACATATGTAGTAAACCAGTAAAAAATTCGAGTTGACTCGTTCGTTTGTATTTAATTAACAAGTCGAGTTCAAGTTCACCTGTCCAGCATATCCATGTAGAGTTACTAAGAACTTGTTTATTAATTGAGCCAAACTTATTTGCAAATAGATCATTTTTTAATTTAAAATTTGAAGTGTTTTAAATGAGACAGGCGAGCTGACCTTGTTTGCAATCAACTCGTTTAAGGCATTAAAGTTTTTTAAACTAAAGAACTGAGCCGAGCCATTGGTTTGTTTAGTAAACGAGCCTTTCAGTATATTAAACGAAACAAATTGAGCCGAGTTATATGCCTGTTTAGTATACGAATCGAATAATCGAGCAGACTCTTTTATTAACGATTCCAAGCTTGAAATGAGATCGGCTCGAATATAATTATTATGTGTAGAATAGAGTTTGTGTATGAAATGAATCGCTCGTGAATTCAACTTGATGAAACGAATCTAATATGAATAAACAATAAAAATAATTCAGTTTTCAATAAAAGAATAAAAAAAAGAAAGGGGTAGGCACTATATCTACGAGTAGCTGACACGAGGATCCGAGGTACAAGACCACCTCATCAACTCTCCTCCCAACACGTGTCCCTCTCCATTTTCTACAACCGGTCAACATTCTACAGGCCCCCACACCAAATCGCATCACGCCACCTTCGATCCTCCCTCCACCTGTCCTCCACAAATGAATCTCAGCCGTCCACGCGACCACACGACGCTTTTCCCCAAAAAACATATTTTTGTCTATGTCATTTAACTTGACCGACGCGTGGCTGCCACGTGTTGGTAAAACCCGACCCGCTCTTTTTATATATAATCATTTCCATAATCAGCTCCCTTTTCATTGCATTTTTATCCCCATTCATATCGTTAATTAAGATTAGATAAAGAAATTTCAGTTGGAAGATGATTGCCAACGGCTTGAGCAAGGATTTCCCGGCGGCGGCGGATGCAGAGGGGATCTGCCGCCTGCGGAGCAGGATTTCGGATATCGGCGGCGGCGTGGGGCGGAGATCGAGGAGCCTCCGCCGCAGGAGGCTGGAGCTACGGCGGATGAATTCCTTCTCGAGGGAGAAATCCGCCGCGGACGGTTCCGGCGGGTCTAGGAAGAGGAGATCCGAGAATAAATCGGCCGGGGACGGGCGGATCGGCGGATCTGGGTACGGGGTGGCGTCGCTGGTCGGGCGGCGGAAGCAGATGGAGGACGCGTTAGCGGCGGAGCTTGGCTGCCTGAGGAGGGGCGGGCGGAGCTACGACTTCTACGGGGTGTACGACGGCCACGGTGGGCGGCGCGTGGCGGAGGCGTGCGCGGAGATGATGCACGGGATGGTGGCGGGGGAGGGCGGCGGCGGGGAGGCGTGGGAGGGGGCGATGGCGGCGGCGTTCAGGCGGATGGACGAGGAGGTTAACGCGCGGTGGGGGAGGGCGGTTTCGGCGACCGGGTCGACGGCGGTAGTGGCGGTGGTGGGGGAGGAGGAGGTGGTGGTGGCGAACTGCGGGGACTCGAGGGCGGTGCTCTGCCGCGGCGGCGCTGCCGTGCAGCTGTCAGAGGATCACAAGGTAAATAACGGTATGCATGACGGCGTGAGTGGATTGTTAGACGGTGACGTTTTTTTTTTTGACGGTGACGACGTTAAGACTCTTTGTTTTGTGTAATTCTGTTACATATTTGTGTCCGGAGGAAAAGCGTCCATAGTAGTATTTTTGTTTTCAATGTCAGCTAAAGTAAATTATCAGCTTAGTTATACCGAAATGCTATTGTCCGGGACCATCCCGTTGGATATTTTAACCGTTTCCAACGTACATCTAGTTAGTATAAGATAATGATCAAACCGTTAAAACTAACGGGATGATTCCATAACGAGACTATAGTATTTGCCCATACATTATATTTTATGCGTAAATATTTTTGCAACAATTAAATTTTCCTTTTTTCTTTTGCATAATACTGTAGATCTGAGTTTTTGAGGATTTGGTCAGAAGGTTCGACCCGCAAATCGTCTTGTATTGTTTATGTAGTATTAATATAGATAATCTTTGATTGTCTCCTTTGAGTGTGCAATTTAAGATTTGAGTCATACATGTTCTAATTAACTCGAGGAAATAGTTGTTAAATTGAATGATTTTATGAATTCATGTTCTAATGATTACATTGAATTGTGAATTTAAGTAGTGATTAATTAGAAGTGTTAACTAATTAATTAATTAATTAATTTGGCAGCCTGATAGAGCAGATGAAGTGGAGAGAATTGAAGGGTGTGGAGGGATGGTGATTAACTGGAATGGAGCTAGGGTTATAGGTGTTCTTGCTACTTCAAGATCTATAGGTATGTTTATCTTCCTCCTCACATAGGCTAATTTGCTCAAGTATAATGGCTAATTAACTTAAGTACATATCTAGCTTTAATTATATCTTAGTATACTGCCTAATTATAGGAAAATGATAGTCCCGTTAAGGGGCCATTCCGTTGGAATTTCTAACCGTTAGATCATCATGTAACCGTCGTCGATAGTTGATCTAACGGTTATAGTACCCACAACATAATGGTAACATAATGGTCCTGCAAACGGGCTCGTAGAATCTCCTCTAATTATATTGTTTCAATAAGTAGATCTACAATTACTTTTGTTATATTTTTGGTAGTGATGACACTTGGATCAAAATTATTAATCGAACTAGACACCATTTTCTAGGAGAAAAGATTTTTTTTACAATCCTCAAATGGTAAAAGTTGTCAAATTCTAACTAAAAATGTTCAGGGTAAAAATATTCCAACAGATTTTTTAAGGTAGTTTGAATAAATATTATCATGTTATGACTTTTGTTGGAAATTTTCAACAAAATTCAAACAGAGAACAATTCTAACAATTTCAATAATTTGAAGTTATTATGTATTTTAGTGCCTTTTACTTTTTTATCTTGTTAGTTTTATCAATAAAAAATTGACAATTACTATTGTTATCCATTTAAAAAAAAATTGTTCATTTATTCATATATTTATATTTTTTGTTAATAATTTTTTGTATTACATCAGCTTTACCAATTATATTTTATCTTTACATTCAGTTACACCTTTTTATAAATAAAATATTTTCCTAAAATATTAGTAAGTAAGAAAAATTAATTGTCTAACAAAAGCACCTAATTAAGTAGATTAATTTCATCCTATGAGCACTGCCCAAGGTTAGGATTGAATTTGCACGCACTAAAAGGAAGAAGATGGAGAATGATACTAAGGGAACTATTTAATTTATTTTAGATTGAGATTTGCTAAGACTTTTTAAAATTTTGCCGACTCCCTAAAGCATAAACTTCGTAGGATGTCTGAAAAAAAATCTTAAGAAGTACCATATCAAAAAATCTTAAAAATATCCCAATCGATACACCCTTCTAATGAACACACTCTGCAATATAACCATTTTTATTAATTATATTTTACTACAGGCGATTACTATCTGAAACCGTACGTGATCCCTGACCCAGAAGTACAAGTCATCAGCCGAACAAGCTCTGACGAGTTCCTAATACTCGCTAGTGACGGGCTTTGGGACGTCGTTACCAACGAGCTGGCGTGCCAGGTCACAAAACGGTGTTTGGCCGGTCGGGTGATGAGGGGTTCCCTCTTCTCGAGGCCAGGCAATGATGGTCGAGACAACCATGATGACAAGGACATGCCGGAGGGTAAAACGGTCAAAAATCGATTCGAAGAGTCTGCAGACAACCATGATGACAAGGACAGGTCGGAGGTTAAAAAGGTTGAAAACCGATTTGAAGAGGCTGCAGCCGTGCTAGCTGAGTTGGCTATTGCCAAAGGCAGTGGCGACAATGTAAGTGTTGTTGTGGTGGGTTTAAGGTAGAGGTCTCGAGCTCAAGTTCAAGCTCAAGCTCAAGTTCAAGCTTTTGGTATATATGTTGTTTTGAGCAAAGAACAATATATGTAACCACGGTTTTAAGAGAGAATGTGTAAATATTTTTTTATGAGGATTTAGAACTTGTTGAGCTTGCTTTCCTCTTTTGAATCTCTTTTGATTTTTTTTTTTT